GCGCGAATTCCGATCAATCACCTCCGATGAAGCCCCGAGCCACGGAGGGCAGAGGGGCAGTGGCGGCCCGAGCTCGCGGGCGCCGGGCCGGGGAGCCGAGCGCGCCCAGGCCTGCCCCGGCCGCAGCGGCAAGAACAGCGCCCCGAAGCCCCTGTGCGCCGAGCTCCCGGCTGCTCTGTTTGGCCGACACGTCCCTGACCTCCGCCAGCAACTGCAAACGTGTACACTGGCCGGTTCGTAATTTCTGATGAACGAGTTTTAAAGCAAAAATAAAACTCAGACCCCATTTTCTACTTTCCCATTGAAGGATCTCTCATCTTTCTTCCTTCATTTTTCCCAGCGAACTGCACGAAGAGCTCATAAATCACTCCACATTTCTCTAAAAAGATCCCTCTAAACACCTGCAGGTTTTATCTTCTTAGTGTACGCTTAAAATTCAAGTTCTCCAGAAAGAAATTCAGGTCAGGAGGCAAGGTGGGTAAGTTATGGAAATCTTTGATAATTTGTTGGGCATATAAACATCAAAGAAGCTTCCTTAGCCTCCGCTAATCTCCTGAGCTGCTTTGAGTTTTCACCAGTTGAAAACTGCATGTTGTCCCAGAGAATGGGGGTCTGAGGGACGTGTGTGTCTCTGTGTGTGTGTGTGTGTCTGTAAATCTCCTGAGCTGCTTTGAGTTTTCACCAGTTGAAAACTGCATGTTGTCCCAGAGAATGGGAGTCTGAGGGACGTGTGTGTCTGTGTCTGAGGGACGTGTGTGTCTCTGTGTGTGTGTGTGTGTCTGTATGTGTGTGTATCGCATGTCCCGGTAAAACAATCTTCCCTGTTCCAAAGGGAGACAGCCTTTACTCAGGCTTCAATTTCTGAACATGTGCACCAAGATCAGTTTTTGCTTGCGTGTTCTACTCACATTCCACACTTCTTTAAGAGACATATTGCCTTAAATGTTGTACCTGCATTAGACTGTAAGGTCTTTCAGTGTTTACTTTGTTAAATATTGTTAACTTGCATACGTTTCACTGGTCTTCTAAATATTCAAGGTTGGCTTTTACATACAACAGAGATAGTGCCATGTACATTTTATTCCCTGCTGATTTAGGAAACGTGGCTAATATTTATAAAAGTATTTTACTTAACACCTTCATATTGCAACCTAAAATGCTCTTGAAGGGGAAAATCATTACCTTTATTGAAATTCTGTGAAGATTTTTTGTCTAAGACCAACAGAAGCAAACACAGTCAAAGCTCAGCTTTCCTTCCCCATACCACTCATGTGTTTGCTTCCAGACACTGCCAGAGTGGCAAGGCTTCCCAAGTGAAAAATCTTCCCTCTTGCCAGTAGATAGCTCAGCTCAATCAGTAGATTTCCATATCTATTACTAAGGGAGGCAGAAAGGAGAGAAAAACAGTTCTCCACCCCAGAGAGTGACTTTCTGTCTGACCTCCAAACGCGCATGTATTTAAAACCAATAAAATGCATAAGAAGTAATAGAAAACCGAAAGCTTGATCTGCTTCTCTTCTCCGCAGTGAAACCACGATTGCTCCTCCCCATTGGCATGGCCCTGTGTCCAGTTAACAGTCCCCTGGCTTTGCCTCAAGTGTCTAAGATTACTTTCAAATACCCTTTCTAACAAGACCCCAGCAAGAGGCCACTAATTTCTATGGCACAAAAAGCCACTGGAGAGAGATCCGTTTGTCAATATCAACTGGTCCAGCAATTTCCCATCCTCAGACACATCGGCCTATCGGAGCTGGCAGATGTTTAGACAAGATTTTATAAATTGTTCAATATCAGCCCATAATGAACCCCAACTGACCATTCCAAAGCAGCTAAAAGCATTGGAGACCTCCCCCGCTGGGATCCAATAATGCTCTCATGCTGCAACATTATTAATCATGGAATAAAATAGATGAACCTCTTGAAAAATAAGTGTATGATTGATTAAAGGGCAATCTAAGAAGCTATTATTCTTGTTTTATAACCGTAAGTTATATTCACTCAATTTATCTTTGGAGAGGAAATAAATGATTGTTCATTTCTTCTCTGAAATTATATTATGTGGATATCCATATAATTTTGCTGAAATTAAAGTGACAGTATGCTGCTTTTATGATACTAATCAAAGGGAATATGTTACTTGACTACAAATTTTAGACTTGTCCTATAATTAGAAAGTGAGTAACACAATAAAGAGGCAATAGTCTAAGGTTGTTTAAACTTTTCTTTTCCCCCAGGGTAAGGGTGAGAGCCACTGAAAGGAAACTAAATCCCTTTCCCCAGATCTCTACCTATAGTTTAATGTGAGTTATATGAAAAGGAGAGTTAAGAAATCCTTCAACAAATCTAAATAATCTATGACAATTTGGATAATTCAGGCTTTATAAAACCAATTATTTCCATCAGTAATTTATTGTAACTCTCCATTGTCAATACTATTACAATTTTCCAGTACCGTTTACTGAGGTTCAATAAGCCAGAATGAGAAATAAATATAAAATGCGTAGGAGTGTCAGATCATTTTATTTTGCCAAGTTTTAAAAATTTACACTAACAGGTAATTTGCATATATTCAGAGCACAAAAATCTTAATTTTCTTGCAATACATTTGTATGTAAATAATCTTGAACCATATGTATCTCTCTACTGTGCACTTCTGTTCCATTGTCTTTTTTAATGAGTGTGAGAAAGGGGAGTTTACTTCACACAGCTTTTTGTTAAAAAGGTGAGGTCAGATCACCTAAAGTTTACATCACTAGGGCTCCATACCCAAATCACTCTCCTAGGAAAAATGAGCCCCAAACACCATATTATTGTAGACTAGTCTGTTTTTATTTACAATTTAAGATATAAATTAGTAAAGAATTGGTGTTGAACAACCAACAAAGATTGTATAACCAGCAATGTTCAAATAAAAACCAGGCAGAATTTATTTACAAAAGTTTAGATTCCATTGCAATACAACTTGCATAAATTACTAGAAGCTTTATATCATTATAAAAATAAATATCAAATTTGTTTCCACTTCTGAAGTACTCAAGTTCTTCAATCACGTTTTATTTCTACTGTGTACATCTTTTACAAATAAATTTTACAGTAAATCCTATCACACCTATAGAATATATACCGTGGCAATGAAGTGATCAATTCAAGATATCCTGAGAAAAAACAGATTGTTTTCAAAAGTCACACATACATCAAGGAAGCTATTACTATGCCAACAAATTCACATATGTCCAACAACAGTCTGTTCCAGTCCTTAGTCTGTGGGTTGATAGTGCTGTGTGGATCCTTCTCTTTTACGGTGGCACGAGATGTGGTCCGGATTTAGAAATCTGTTTTTGTATCTGTGTATTTATGAGCTTGGGAAGAGAGAATGGCCTGCTGAGTTTATTTTTTATTTATTTATTTTTTCCCAAAGCAATTGTGACACCTACCTGTGGACCAAGGAAAAAACCAAATCATCCCAAATCCTTCATTTCTACACCGACACCATCACATTATAAAAATGAGTCCATCTGAAATGGTTCTGCCTCTTTCCCATCTTCAAGATCTGCGATTAATAATTTTGCCTAGTTGTAAAGTAATGTACTTTTGAGATTCTGCTGTGAGCCAAAGCTGCAGGGTCCTGTCTAGTCCATTTGGATGGGGGGCGCGGGCGAGGGGGGCCTGATAAAAGACTAGGGCTTCTTGTGTTACTCTGCAAACATCATCTATAAAGGTTTTTGATATCCGAAGTTTCAGGATATCGCAGCAAATGTCTACTACATATCTACCGTAGTAAAAATGGTTCTACATCGCATGCAAACGCCCAGATTTTAACAATCTATTTTTTCAAAGCAAAAACAACAGTAGTAGTATAATATGTATGTTTTACTTAAAGGAGTAATTCTCCAAAGCAGAACTTGAGTGAAAAAGAGGAAATCTATAAAACAGAAATACTCTCCCCTCTAAAAGAAAAAAGACCAGAGAAGACAGCAATACTCTATCGTCCAGCGCATGACACGCAGCAAGAAAAACGCATCAAGCGCTGGGAGCCGGTCGGGAAGCGCGGGGTGCCACTTACTTGCGCTGCTGGGCTCGGCCCTTCTATAGATAGGGCTGGACGCCCCCGCCAACCACGGTGCAGCCCTCGCCGGCATCTGTCAGGAGAGGGGGCAGTTGGTCAGCACCCGACCCCCCAGCCCGCTGGCTCCGCAGGCAGCCCCGCACCCACGCAGGCGGCACACGGCCCACAAACGCGTCTCCACCGCCCCTCTCTGAGACAAATTCTGGCTGTGTTCCCCAGGTCTCGGTTTTCTGTCCCTTGAGCTGCTTTTTCAGGTAGCCTGAATTATGAGCGACAGAGGCCATGCTCGTATAGAAAAGGAGAGAGAAGGGGGGAAAGGTTCTCATTTTCTATCTGAAGCAATAACGCCTCTGAGGGTAACTGAGAGCGTTTTGTGTCCTTCCAGCCAAAGGCGGAAAGAGGATTCAGCTGAGAGGCCACTTAACCAACAAAACACGCCGGAGCTTAAACTCAGTCAGCGGGAGACGGGCTGTGATTTGCATTCGGTGGCAATTGGTGTTTGCCAAAACTAAAAGTCACGATGATGACAACGCTAGTAAAAGTCACGGTGAATTAAATAAAAAGTAAAATCAAAGCGGGGTCGGTCTAACCCTGCCCGCTTGGCAACCCCTCCGCCCCCGTCTGCTCCTCCTAGCTCCGGGACAAACGAGTGGCTCTTCTGTCCTTCTGCTTTACTCCCGTCCCTGGCGCGGGCTTGCCGTGCCACCTCTCCTGGGTCTCCCCAGCCCCTTCCCCGGCTTTCTCGGAAGTTCTAACTAGCAAGAGGCGCGGCGGCTGTCCCTCCCAGAGCCCCGCGGGCCGCCTACCTTTCTTGGGATCGTAGCCGCCGCCGGGGGGCCG